TGGATTGCTATCGCTAGGGATGTAACCGAACCGGATACGTGGTCCCCTTCGCTTTATTAAGTTGATAATTTCGTGAAGTTCTTTGATACGGTTATTGACAAACCGACCTAAATTGCTCTGGTAAGGGCTTTTTTGTATCCAGCTCAAGGAAATTTGCGAATCAGACAGGAGTATAACCTCGTTGATCGCTACTTCTCCCAGAGGTAGAGCGTTTATTACCGACCTCGCTAGTCTACCAGCCATGGCTAGAGCGTTCATCTCAAGTTTTGGCATGGTTACTGATGTTTTTAAGGGTGTTAGCTTCGATTTGGCTATTAGTAGAGATGAATTGCTTTCTGAAACTATATAGGCGCATGTTGCCATCGCTTTTTCGCTTGCATCCGCGAATAAGATCAACTGGTTTGCCGTTGATGTGGAGGATACGGCGCGGAATCGTTTTGCTAAACCCATTTATATTTCCTACAATCTTTTCCCATTGCTCATGATGATGTTGCGATAGCTGTTCGTCCCAGGAGTAATTGAATTTCCACAAGCTTTGCTGGAATTGTTTTGGCAAAATTATGAGTGGAGTCAACCACCCTAGCGGATCGTATACGGAAGCGATTTGTTTGGTTATAGTTCGCTTTGTTGTCTTGGGTGTCACTGGTAATTCGCAAGCAATTTGGAGAGCATCTTTTTGTGAATGCCACAGAATTCCCAGTACCTTTTGGGTTTTGACTTTTGCGCATTTTTCTGGGGAGATCGCATTTTCTACGTAGTTTGTGTTCGACAGAAATTCGCGCAGGTTCATTGCCATATCCTTAAAAATTTCGTGTGCCGCTTTTGATTTGGACGCTATTTCTTCCGGAGTCTCTCCTCCCAGGATCAAGTTGTCTACGTATAAATTGTCTCTGATTTCTTGCGCCAGTGTTTTATCAGTGACGTGATTTTGCAGGTGAAATCTCACCGTTCCCGCTAGAAGAAATGGGGAAACGTTCAAGCCAAATGGAACTCTGGTAAATCGCATGCATATCAGATTATCACCCTCTGGAGGCCGTTTGATATCTCGCACCCACAGGAACCTTGTGACATCCCTGTCTTCCTCGTGTAAATGGATTTGCAAGAACGCCTTCTCCACGTCCGAGATCGATACCCAAGGTCTCATTCTGAATCGCATGAGCATTTCTTGAAGACTAGGGAGCAATGTGGGTCCTTGGTGTAATACTTCATTGAGTGAGGGACAGCCTTTGTAGTGTGAGGCGGCATCAAAAACAATGCGAATTTTCGTGGTCGTTTTTTGAGGGGTGATTACAACTTGGTGAGGCAAGTAGTGTATGAATGTTTTGTTTTTATTAGCTTCAGGAACAATCTCTATAATTTCCTTTTGAAGCTGTTCCTTGAATACCGCATCATATTGATCGAAGAGGGTCGGTTGTTCGCGTAGCTTCGAGGCAACATGGGTAAGTCTTCGATAGGCTAGCTTGTAATTATTCGGTAACGAGTCGCAGTCGTCCTTGAATGGGAGGCGTACGTAGTACCCGTCCCGGCGCCGAGCGATGGTATTGTTGAAGAACTTGTGCACTTTATCAGCTTCCATTGCGCGCTCCGTCTTAGTGGGGCCGAGGTATTCGTCACTTGTTATCAGGTCGGAATCCCCATTTTCGAGATCCTCTGAGTCGACTTCGGCTTCGTTCTGTGTTTTGAAGAGGATTTCGCAGTTGGTTTGCACTAAGTTACACATTCCATCTGAGGCTTGCTCGCCCTCAAGGTCTTTTTGACCTGTGAGCAGATAGCCCAAGCGGGATGGGATTATACGTAAACCAGACGGCATTGTATGCGCTTCGCAAGGGAACTTGATGAGATTCCAGAGCTGGTCACATCCCAGTAGAATTTTTGGGCGAATTATCGATCCTTGTCTGTTGGAGAGTTGTATTTGTTCGTTAGCCAAATACTCTCTGTCCGCATCGCTTAAATTTATTGTTTCCCACTGCCTGAAATAACGTCCGTCTTGCAGAGGGTCAGGTCGATTGGCTGGTCGTTGTTGTCCCATATCCTCATGCAGGTGACGGTGTACTCTTTCTGTTTGGGCTCCTTTTCACCAAAGGTATATACTGATAATCCAATAGTGCGCACGATCGGGAGTTGGAGCTCAATTTGCAAATTCGCTTTGAATGAACGACTTATCTGCTCCCGTGTCGAGCAGAATGTGAACCTCTTCCACCTGGTTTGTGCTGGGGTGCCGAATCCATGCTGTACCGGTCAGAAGGTATACATCGTTTTTTCCACAACGGTCTCCTTCCGCCATGCTTTGAACCTCTGCACTGCATGTTTCCTCGAATTGGGGGTTCTGTTCGTTTTGCGGATTTGATGTACTTTCTATGCTCTGTGTATTTACCTTTCTATAAGGCTTGCCTGTTTTCTCCCCGCTGCCTCTTGTTGGTGGGGGTTGGCGCGTGTTTTCGCCTCCTTCCTGGCGGCCAAACACTTCCTGTACTAGTTTAGGGCAGATCGAGAAGTGATGTTTTTTATTATCACATCTCCTGCAGCCTGTACTCGCACACTCGCGCACGAAATGGTTCTGCATCCCGCAGTTCGTGCACCGCCTATTCCTTCTTAAGAGCTCACTCCGGTCATTTATTAGGACCACTTTTGAGCATCTTAATGAATTATGGTCAGTACTGTCACAATAGAGACATTTTCTCGGCTGTGTCGGTGCGTTCCGCACCTGAGCGCTTTCTGATCGACTACCACCTGTTGGCTTATTTCCTTGCCGGATGTGACGGTCTTTGTCTGGGAGCATCTCCAGTAGTCGCTCTTCCGCTGTCATTATTTTGTCAAGTTCGACTACCATTTCGTGGACGTTCCAATCGTCGTCGCTCGCGTTCTTGTCGCAAAACTGCTTAAGAACCTTCCGTTGGAGCTCCACTTGGAATTTACCCAAAATTTTCTGTGTTGTGAAGGAGCCTTTTAGGTTAACTCCCAAATGTTGCAGCTGGGTTGTAATAGAAGTTATATAATCTAGAAGTTGTCTTTGATCGCTTATCCTGTTCCCCCTAGCCGTGGCTGTTTCCAGGCGGGATTGCAGGTGCCGCACTAACTTGGATTTGTCTCCGTATTTTGTCCGAAGTAAGTTGAGCGCAAGTGGATAATTTTCTTCATTCACCGCATACTTTCTTACCGACCGTCGCGCTTCCCCTTTCAGTGCGTTTAAGAGATAATTAAACTTTTGCAGATTCGTTAAATTTTGTGAATGAACATTAGCCTCGAACAAGGCCCAAAAATTATCGAATTCTCCTAAGGTTCCTGAAAATTGAGGGATAGGGATCGCTGGTAGCTCTATTCTCGCATGGTGAGGTGCTAATAGAGGTTCTGGTGTCGGTATCTCATTTGTGATGGCTTCGCGCAGAGCGGCTTTCTTTGCTTCGAGACGAATTATAAGCGCTTGAGCTTCCTCCAAGCTTCCCTCCACATTTTCCAAATATTCTTGATATTTAGTTTCCTGCTCATGGGTTGGGGGAGTTTCGCTGTGGTCTAACGTTTCTGTAAACTGAATAAGTGCCTCCAGTACCATTTTGCTACTCGCACCTAGGGCTGCTAAAGCTTCCTCCAATACTCGCGTGCTGGTTGAGGTCGCTTCCAGGTTGCTATTCGTTGTGGTTAACGTCGTAAGTGTGTTGGTATACCTGGTAAGGAGACTTTTTCCTTGTTCGCACGCTCATCGAAACACTCATTTTTTCCTAGTTTGCTATCGCATACGGCTGAAGGAAAACCTAACTGGAGTTCTGGTGGGATCAGTGGGATGCTAGTAATCTCGATGGCTTGACCCAAGGTTTTGAATCTAGAGTAATGAACCGATTAGGTCAATTCGTACCTTCGTCGCTTCTAAATTTCCTTTTCCGGGCTCTGGGGTGTCCGATGCACCATAAAGTTGTTTCGTACTGTCCGAATAGATATCGTGTTACAATTTATTCAACCGAACAATAACTTGATAATTCGCACTAGGATCTGGAACTCGGTTAGATTAACAACAGTAAACAACTAACACTGAAAGGGAACAGAAAACAATAGCAATGTTAGTACATCCTAGATATCGGGGTCTTATATACCCCCCAGGGGTCGAAGTTCATTGTTTGGCGCCAAAGGTGGGTGGTCAGCGGGCCTCCCT